GCGAATACATATAGTTTGAAAGACATAATATAGATTCTTCAGCAAATTCACTTATACTGGATTTTACAATGTTCTCACGAGACCAAATACCACCAATTGACAATCTTGTAAGCAAATCCTGCTGAACCTTCTACTGTAAACGTTCGATGGTAACATTCCACGAAGGTCATCTATTGACATCTTTGAGTCACTGAATTTAAAATATTTTCTTAAAGCAATCGTCATTATCTAACCATTGCAATAGCTTTGAAGTTTTCATTCGCGAATATACATCTGCTTCATTAAATGTAAAACCTGACTTCTTTGCAGAGAGACTTTAAAAATCTATTGAGTTTGTTTCAAAAATTATATGCTATGGTGAACTTCTGAAGGTAATGGATGCCCTTCGCAGTCAGTTGTTCTCTCACTAACCGTTTGAAGCTTTTGTGTTAAAAACTTTCATGTCATCTCCTGTGTCTAGGTTCACATACACAGCAACAGGAAACTATCTTGCTTCTTTGTTTCATCATTATACCTCAAAACATTAAAGTTCTTCATAATATTGTTGCTTTTCCTGCTGGAATTACTTCGAACTGTCTTATTTCAATAGCTTTCTCACCTCCTACATATCTACCCAGTGTCTGGATATTCATAAGTATACTGACTTTCTTGAATTTTGGTAGGTTCATCATAACGTGTTCATAGTATGATCTTTATACTCTTGTTCAGTTAGACTCGGTGCTATGTTCTGAATATTTCTGACTTGCATTTTTAATGGAGATAAAATGAAGCATTTAATACATAACGTAGATGAAAGACATGAATGAAACTACAGAGCAAACTTAACTCTTCTCTTATTCTTCCTTTCAGCACAAAAGATTATGAGTTCTGTTCAAATGGTGTGTATTTCTATTGTGGAAAGATGGGTTCAGGTAAGACATTTAATTTAATTCGTCATAACTCATAACAAGAGCGTTTAGGAAATGACTCATATTATGACCAAATCATTATATCAGCAACTTCAGACTCTATGGACTCAACAGGAAAACATTTATGTCAAAGTTCAAGCCTCGGTCGTTAAAGTTCCAGACAGTGAACTCATTGAATTTCTTCAACGTTACATTCGACGTAAGAGGAAATATTATGGCCATCGTTGAATTTATACAGTCAGGAATGCAAAAGACTTCAGAAGAGATGGAAAGAATTATTGACAAACACCACTTACGTCAGTACTCGGAGTTTACGATATGAACGACTGACAAACTACATTCTGTCAAAACTTTCAAAATACCCCTTCAAAAAGTATCCTTCAAAACTCTGCTCGTTTGTGACGACTTCGCCGGAAAAGGTTTAGTGTCAAAACCAACTCACCATTAGCTAACATCATAAACTAAAGTCAGACATTACACTTAACTGTAGCAATAACTTTATGCAAACATGGAGGTTTTTAGCTTTAAACATAAAAACGTCTCATACTGACTTCGTTATCTTTCAAAGGTTTCTCACGTTATGATATTGAACTCATTTGGAAACAGTCAGGTATAACATTACCTTTTGAAGAAATTTGGGAAGCATATAAGTCTCTCATCTTCCTCGTTTCATACCTTGAGATTCATATCCATGACTAAACAAAACAATTAATTTTCACTGTACTTATGGGTGTAGGTGAAAATTTAATGAATCCTTCCACTGTGAATATTTCCACTAATTTTTCAGAAAACTATAATCCAGAATCAGTAGTAAGTGGTCACAGTATAGTCGATGACATGATCAAAGTGAAAATGTTACTGTTTACTAGGAATTCGAAAATAAAACAGAACATTTGTTGATACATTCACAACTGAGCCAAATGGAGGTATCATCAATGGAGCATTCACATTCAATGTAACACTTGGAAATGCTGTTAATCGATATAATTTGAAGGTTATGCTATTGACTCTTCAAACTTAACATCAAATGTTTTCGAAAGAGACTTCTTGTGAATGAAGCTCCAAAAGTCCAATTTACAAAGAGACCAGAAAAACGAATATTATGAAGGTAGCCATGTGAAAATAGAAGGCATAATTTGGGATGATACAGTAGCATCAATTAAATACCAAATTGAATGATGGATATATTTGGGAAACAGGCCAAAACTTTGAATGTTACAAATTAACAAAGCCATTCCGCGTTTCCTTCTCAATTCAGGAAGATTATAATAACTTTGGGCGGCATAAAATTTATATTTGGGCTCAAGATGAATTCGGCGTTAAGTCATCAATAATTAGTTCTGAATTCTATTACATCCAGTTTCATGCTCCAGAAATTTACATATCGGAAAAGAATAACGAAAATCGAGAATATCATCGTGGTCAAAAAATTGAATTTAAAGTTGATGTTCGAGATATTGATAAAAATCAATTGTTACTGTCAAATACAAGAAACCAGAAGATGATGTTACAGCTGAAGCCGACTCTTATATTTCTTATAATACAAATAATCACACTGACTGGTTCACTATTACTATGGAATATTACTGTTGCAACTAGTTTAGAGATCGGAAAAAGAAGTTAGTATCCCTAAGTCGTGTACTGAGGCACTGCGCGCCTCCTTACACAATATATGTGAATTTGACACTTTACAAAACCGTTAACGGTATATTTACAACACAAACGACAACACTAACTTAACCTTAAATATTTACAAACCGCCAACCACTAATGACTTCATTAATGTAAAAATAAACGTTCTCACTTACAAAAGTATTGCAACTCCTCCATTGCTGTGCTTCACATAACAGCTCATAATCTTCTGACTCACTTTCTTCTCATATAGGTCAAAATCACTGTCAAAATAAATGTTAGTAAGTTTTGACAAAGCTAATGAAACACGTTTACCGTTTGTATCGTATGCTTGTATAAACTTTCCATTCTTCATTCCTTCATAAACGCTCAAACTAACTTTACCCTTTCTCCCTCGTATCTGATAGAATGTATTTTCACGAGGAACGAAGAACAAATTCTTGAACTCATGACCGTTGTAGTTTGTTATCTCAATAGTTTTCGTCATTTACATCCAAATAAAAATTTTCAGTAAACTTAAAAATAAACTTAAAAATTAATGATATCACCACCTCTCACACGTATGAAAACATAGCGCAAAAATAAATTTAGGTGAAGTGGTGAAATCTCACCTCTTTTTTCACCTCTTTTTCACCTCATTTTTTGAACGTGTTTTGGATAAACGACAAATTGAAAAAATTGGGAATGCATGTGTGTATTTGGAAATTTGGCTGATATCATGTAAAACAACATTTTAAATTCAAGTAATGAATGGGTTGCATCAATAAAATGCTCTTTCACAATTTTGATTATGTCCAGAAATTTGAAAGAAGCATAATAAAAGATTAATTTCTTTGGTTTGTTGTAATTATCGACATCGAAATAAATTAAATCTTTTGGTGACTCTTGTTCTTTGATACCCTTAAATAATTGAGTTGACTTGAATTGATTATCATCGTACTTTTGAATACCTTTGATCTTTTTATTTCCTTTTTCCTGAATTGTTTTCATTTGATCTGAAGATGCATTCAAAAAAGATGGCCTGTTAAGTGGATCATCCAGATCAAGTTTTTTGTCGCATTCAATTTGAGCCATTTTCGGATCACCCCCTGTTTTATAAAATTAATAAGTACCCGACGATAGCATTGTGATAATGTGTGGTATTTCTTTGTCTCATCTTTGATTTGATTGTGATTATGTGTTCCATTATATTCTGTTAGGATATATTCTTCATCATCCTTTAGAAATGAGATACATGCTTCACATTTATCTGCACTGCACCTGAATTTTAATTTTGTTCCCCCTAAATTTGGATTTTTTTTAATTGATATGGACAACCTGCATGGCATTCGTTATCAATGACAGCTTTCATAGCATCTATATAAGATAGCCTTTCTTTAAGTTCGCATGGTGCATCGATATGCATCAAAAAAATGAAATGAAATTTCAATATCAAAAAAAAAACACAAAATTTGAAAAAATTCACAAATCTCGGTTTCTTAAAGAAAATGGCCTCTTAAACTTTGTGCATATATTCATCTATAAGACACATTGTATCCATATATTATTTAGCCAACACAACTTATCTGGTATCGAGAAAATTCAAAAAAAGCACAAAATTTGAAAATTGCTCGGTTCTACATTCAAAATAAATTTCATTAATTTTTACGTACATATTAAGGTACTTATCTTCTACATATATAATCTTCATTAGATATATACATGATAAATAAAATTCATAAAACATTAAAAATCAAAAAATTAGATGAACTTTGGCAATTAAACTTTATTAAATAATAGTTGTTTATAAATTATATTATATTATCATTTAATATTATTTTGATAATGAAGATTTTATTTTGCAATAATATAAACGAAATTTTTTACCTTATGAACTTTTGATGGAAATATGCAAATTTAAAATAATAAAGAAAGCCGCGAGCGAAGCGATCGGCTTAGTTCGAAGATTTTGATTCAAATCTTTGCTGATCTGTAATTCGCGGAAGCCGCGAGCGAATCGAGCGGCTTAGGTCTAAGATTTTGATTCAAATCTTTGCTTATATTCCTTAAATTCTTTATGAAACTCGCAACAGTTCCATAAAAAATTTTAAATTCTAAACTGTCGAAATTACCGATCGGTAATCACACCCTTCATGGGTGTGTCACTTTTTACAGGTGTGTCACTTTAAGCTAAAATTACCCCTACTCAAAATAAACTTCCCTTTCAAATTGAAAAAAAATCCCAGAGACCTTATAGCTCCTTCTAATGATCAAAATCAAAATAAATAATTTTTTCAAAAGAGGTAGTTTAGTTTACAAAATATTTTCCATTGATATATAATATATTGCATCAATTTTTATTTTTAAGTATATTTATTTCAAGTTATATCAGCTTGTCTCAATTTTTTTGAAAGGCTTTCAATTTTAAACTGATTTAATATAAATTTAATATTTTCATAAGTGTAAACGAAAATCATTATGATGTTACCTTTCTTAACTTACCAAGTCTTATCAGATCAATATGATGACGACCTTATTGTTAATACAACATATCTTAGGGCTTATTGGGGTTTGAGGTCAAGAGATTACACAGATTTTGATATTCAATACAATGAATTAGCTGATCAAGGGGGAGTAAGCTGGGTTCAAACAACATATTCAAACGGTGGTTGGTACCCCATCTTCAAAGTTGATGATGATGTCCAAACAAGAATACTTGGAAGGAATGGAGGAACAGCCACATACAAAGGTGTAAGGGCTTCAACAATAATCGAAGCTGTGCCAGAACTAGGTGAAAAATATCTTCTTATTACGTTTTCACTTAAAAATGAAGATGAACGTCCACATACTGTTAGCGTATCAGCACATGCAGATGTACAGATTAAACACAATGACCACGCAACATGCTATTGGTATGGTAATGAATCGCACAGAGGTTTGACAATGTATGATCCGAACTCAAAAATCACTCTCACTATACTTGTCAGAGGAGGCTATAAGGTTTTTGACGCAGATTTATTTTGGTTTGGTAGATGGGAAGGAACTCGAAATCTCCACTACTTTGATAACACCAATGAAACTAAAATATTAGAAAGAACAGATTCAGCCTTTTCAGTTAGCTGGTTAAATCATCATTTATATCCAAACAAAACAATTAATTTCACTGTACTTATGGGTGTAGGTGAAAATTTAATGAATCCTTCCACTGTGAATATTTCCACTAATTTTTCAGAAAACTATAATCCAGAATCAGTAGTAGTGGTCACAGGTATAGTCGATGACATTGATCAAAGTGAAAATGTTACTGTTTACTACGAATTCGAAAATAAAAACAGAACATTTGTTGATACATTCACAACTGAGCCAAATGGAGGTATCATCAATGGAGCATTCACATTCAATGTAACACTTGGAAATGCTGTTAATCGATATAATTTGAAGGTTTATGCTATTGACTCTTCAAACTTAACATCAAATGTTTTCGAAAGAGATCTTCTTGTGAATGAAGCTCCAAAAGTCCAATTTACAAAGAGACCAGAAAACGAATATTATGAAGGTAGCCATGTGAAAATAGAAGGCATAATTTGGGATGATACAGTAGCATCAATTAAATACCAAATTGATGATGGATATATTTGGGAAACAGGCCAAAACTTTGAATGTTACAAATTAACAAAGCCATTCCGCGTTTCCTTCTCAATTCAGGAAGATTATATAAACTTTGGGCGGCATAAAATTTATATTTGGGCTCAAGATGAATTCGGCGTTAAGTCATCAATAATTAGTTCTGAATTCTATTACATCCAGTTGCATGCTCCAGAAATTTACATATCGGAAAAGAATAACGGAAATCGAGAATATCATCGTGGTCAAAAAATTGAATTTAAAGTTGATGTTCGAGATATTGATAAAAATCAAATTGTTACTGTCAAATACAAGAAACCAGAAGATGATGTTACAGCTGAAGCCGACTCTTATATTTCTTATAATACAAATAATCAACCTGACTGGTTCACTATTACTATGGAATATACTGTTGCAACTAGTTTAGAGATCGGAAAAGAAGTTAGTATCCCTAAGTCGTGTACTGAGGCACTGCGCGCCTCCTTACACAATATATGTGAATTTGACACTTTACAAAACCGTTAACGTATATTTTACAACACAAACGACAACACTAACTTAACCTTAAATATTTACAAACCGCCAACCACTAATGACTTCATTAATGTAAAAATAAACGTTCTCACTTACAAAAGTATTGCAACTCCTCCCATTGCTGTGCTTCACATAACAGCTCATAATCTTCTGACTCACTTTCTTCTTCATATAGGTCAAAATCACTGTCAAAATAAATGTTAGTAAGTTTTGACAAAGCTAATGAAACACGTTTACCGTTTGTATCGTATGCTTGTATAAACTTTCCATTCTTCATTCCTTCATAAACGCTCAAACTAACTTTACCCTTTCTCCCTCGTATCTGATAGAATGTATTTTCACGAGGAACGAAGAACAAATTCTTGAACTCATGACCGTTGTAGTTTGTTATCTCAATAGTTTTCGTCATTTACATCCAAATAAAAATTTTCAGTAAACTTAAAAATAAACTTAAAAATTAATGATATCACCACCCTCACACGTATGAAAACATAGCGCAAAAATAAATTTAGGTGAAGTGGTGAAATCTCACCTCTTTTTTCACCTCTTTTTTCACCTCATGAATTCATTGCTTTATAACTCTCTTCCTTGGTTTCTTTTTAGTTGCTTTCTTCACGTCTGTCTCCAACTTGACTGTCTTTCTTCTTCGTCCGTAATGATACCAGTTACTTCCACCAGTCAATGGGTCAAATGGTCTTTCGTAAGGGTTTCCATACATTCCATAGGGACCATACGGAAGAACTGCTGGTGGAGGAAGAGTTCCATCGACTCTATTTAAATGCATTGTTTCACCTTTCATCTGGTCATTAAAGTCTTTTGCGTGTTTTGAAAACTCATCGTCCTTTCCTAAAGCATTTTCCGACTCAGTCGCAACCAAATTGGATGCTTTATTTATGAGCCCTATTTTATTTAATCTTAACTTCTTTGCAACCCAGCCTCCAATCTTCCCTTTATTTGCATCTAATGTCTTCGAAACCCTTCCTCCACTCATTTTATTTACTGCGTCATAAGCTCCAAGTGCTTTTGCTCCAAATGCTAATGCTTTTGTTCCCATTGCGCCTAAAGCTGCCCAAGCTACCATTTACACCATATTAAAATCATCTCTCTTCAATATTATCTCATAAAAGTTCTCGTTACTGGAGAAAGTCAATGAAACATAAACATTCTCACGGGCTTCGCCCTCACCGCTTTGCGGTCTATCTAACTTCTTTCTTATCTCATCTATTTCGCTTCAAAATGTCTGAACAATTGCTAACATCTTCTACAACAGTTATTTCATCATGACTGACCTTCAAGAACAAGCTCATTTAATATGCAATTAAAATCATCTCAATAATGAGTCCATCCTTTCCATCTTTAGGTAGCACAACATCTTTCATTGAAGAAGGTTCGACAAGTCTTATGTTAAACTTACTGACAAAGTTTGTTATACTATAATGCTTCGGTGGCGAATACATGTAGTTTGAAAGACATAATATAGATTCTTCAGCAAATTCACTTATACTGGATTTTTATAACAATGTTCTCACGAGACCAAATACCACCAATTGACAATCTTGTAAGCAATCCTGCTGAACCTTCTACTGTAAACATCGATGGTAACATTCCACGAAGGTCATCTATTGACATCGTTGAGTCACTGAATTTAAATATTTTCTTAAAGCAATCGTCATTATCTAACCATGCAATAGCTTTGAAGTTTTCATTCGAATATACATCTGCTTCATTAAATGTAAAACCTGACTTCTTTGCAGAGATGACTTTAAAATCTATTGAGTTTGTTTCAAAATTATATGCTATGGTAACTTCTGAAGGTAATGGATGCCCTTCCGCAGTAAGTTGTTCTCTCACTACCGTTTGAAGCTTTGTGTTAAAAACTTTCATGTCATCTCCTGTGTCTAGGTTCACATACACAGCAATGGGAAAACTATCTTGCTTCTTTGTTTCATCATTATACCTCAAAACATTAAAGTTCTTCAATAATATTGTCCTTCCTGCTGGAATACTTCGAACCTGTCTGATTTCAATAGCTTTCTCACCTCCTACATACTCTACCCAGTGTCTTGGATATTCATAAGTATACTGACTTTCTTGAATTTTGGTTGGTTTTCATCATAACGTGTTCATAGTATACTTTATACTCTTGTCAGTTAGACTCGGTGCTATGTTCTGAATATTTCTGACTTGCATTTTTAATGGAGATAAAATGAAGCATTTAATACATGACGTAGATGAAGACATGAATGAAACTACAGACAAACTTAACTCTTCTCTCATTCTTCCTTTCAGCAAAGATTATGAATTCTGTTCAAATGGTGTGTATTTCTATTGTGGAAAGATGGGTTCAGGTAAGACATTTAACCTCATTCGTCATATACTCATAACAGAGCGTTTAGGTCAAGATTCATATTATGACCAAATCATTATATCAGCAACTTCAGACTCTATGGACTCAACAGCGAAAACATTTATGTCAAAAGTTCAAGCCTCTGTCGTTAAAGTTCCAGACAGTGAACTCATTGAATTTCTTCAACGTTACGTTCGACGACGTAAGAGGAAATATTATGCCATCGTTGAATTTATACAGTCAGGAATGCAAAAGACTTCAGAAGAGATGGAAAGAATTATTGACAAACACCACTTACGTCAATACTCAGGAGTTTACGATATGAAACGACTTACAAACTACATTCTGTCAAAACTTTCAAAATACCCCTTCAAAAAGTATCCTTCAAATACTCTGCTCGTTTGCGACGACTTCGCCGGAAAAGGTTTAGTGTCAAAGCCTGACTCACCATTAGCTAACATCATTACAAAGTCAGACATTACCACTTAACTGTAGCAATACTTATGCAAACATGGCGTTTTCTTGCTTTAAACATAAAACGTCTCATAACTGACTTCGTTATCTTTCAAGGTTTCTCACGTTATGACATTGAACTCATTTGGAAACAGTCAGGTATAACATTACCTTTTGAAGAAATTTGGGAAGCATATAAGTCTCTCATCTCTCCTCGTTCATACCTTGAGATTCATATCATGACTAATACCATTAAAGTCAAAAATATTCCATGGGAACGACCAACATTGTTTTAAAGTTTAACCTTCAATTGACTGATGGTAAACAAATTCCATGCATCTCTGTCGCCATTTCTGTTAATATTTTTGCTGTCATTCATATCATCCACTTCTCCATCCGTTAGCTTTGAGGATATGCGTTAGAATAGCTGTTCTTAAATGAAGGCTTTTCACCTTTGAGAGCATAAACTCTATAACTTTCTGCATACTTTATGTTTGAACCTCCTGAGCCATCATTGACATAAATTTTTATAGGCTTCCACCCTTTGTTCATGTTCCTGCTTCTTCCCTTAGCTCTTTTGTTCAGTAGTTCTACATCTTTATACACAGCTCCTGTCTCAGTGAATTCAACAATATTTTCATTCGTTAGCTTTACATTCAAACCCTTGTCGAGTATATTGTTCATTTCATACATATAAAAGGTTTTTATTCTATATGAAATGAGAAGCAATCCATCTTAGCTGGTGCCGTTAATGTTCCAATTGAACCAACATCAAATGTTGACTCACGAACGACAAACAATATTGTCATAAGAACTATAGTTCGGAGTGTTTGAAAGAGCCAGAACCAGAGCTGAAATCCGTGAATTTAAACACAGCTTCAAACGCTAACGCTACATCAGATGTTAAGTTAGAGTATCCACCACTGGACCAAGTTCTTTCAAGAGAAGCCAACGACAACCCTTACACAAATGTTCAAACAAATCCTTCAGATAACGTAGACCATTACCTTCTTCAGTTATACCAAACAATTTTACTCAAAGACGATAAGAAGCTTTTGACAAATCTTATAAGCAAGAACCAAATAATTCTAACAAAGGAGGACCTTGAAAATGTTATATCACGAATAACAGGGAAACAATGTGTCATTGACTATCTCGACCCTGAAATCGAATGCTGTGGTCAAACGCCACCATTCATGAAAATAGGTAACATCCGCATCATTGAAATACCAGGAACTACAGGAGTTGAGTTTAAGTATAAATATTCGAACGAGTATACAAAACTTTCACAGAATATAAAGCTTTGTTTGAAATATGTTTTAGTAAATTAAAAGCAATTTGTAATAATCTATCCAAAACTTCTTCAACAGTATCGAACTCATCTTCATAATGCAAACCTAATCTTATTGACTTGGTGCAGTTTTCACTAACAATATAGCGCTTTGCGCTCGGCGCCTTGACGCCTTTTTCTGTTCTCTTGACTGACATAACTAACTCATTTGTTTCATCAAACAGCAATAACCAAAGTTCATGACCTAATACATAACATTCATACTTTATATTTTTAGCTCTGAGTTCTTTGTAAGCTGTTGCATTTAATATTTTCTAAAAAGTCAACTTCAACAGTCATTCGCACTGGTGCCTTTCAGTTCTACAGGCTCTCCTTGAAAAGTCAACAAGTCTGAATTGCATGTCTTTCAAATTATGAGGACTAATGCGAACCCATTTACCTAAATGAGTTACTATGACAGGAACGTTTGGAATGAACATTGAATTGACTGCATAACAGAAGGATTTATATTCTACTGAACCTTTACTATTAACTCCTGAAATACCTGTGACATTAGCTATTTTTGACTCAACGTATAAACAATTACCATAACATACGTATGGAACAGATTTCATCTCAATCGTTTTGTCAACACTTTTCAAAGGACATGTCATATGGTATGCTCCCAGAAGCAATTGAACTCTATGACTCATTCGTGTTATCTTAAACTCCTTCGCATAACTGAACTTCAAAACTCCTGCAATAAGTTTAACATTCATTAAGTTTTCTTCGTTCTCCTTGTTTATTGTAGTATTTATGAGCGCATTTAACACTCCAGCTAATGTTTCCATCTTATATTCTACATTATTGTGAAATCTTATTTCGTGCTTCTTTCCATCTATTTCAAGCTCCATGAAATCTGTTTCATCTGTTATAACGAATGAAGCGATAGTATTGAAGTCAACAACTCTGAAAGCAAGCGCTTCATTCTGAAGACCTAAGTTTGTTTGTAGCTTTACTGTCCCGTATTCGTTTGGGTCTGTACTTTGCAAATAGAACAACATTTTATTCTCATTAAAATATGAGTATTGCTGCATATGCGTATGAAGCTGACAGAGCTAAACGTTTATATTTTGGTCAATACTCTCTCACACTTACTGACAAATATATTGTTATTTCTGATGGAAATACCGAGAAATACATAACATGGAAGGACTATGAAAAGTTTGACCCTATTTTAACTCCATGCACTATGCCATTCATTGTAAATGGTGAAGTTGTCATGAAGAACGACACAACTGTTTATAGGTCTGTATATGAAGCGTTAGAATATATGTTGAATTATAATCCCGAAAGATTTGACCCAAGCACTACGTCATGTACAATGCCTTTTATTAAGGATGGTGAAATCGTAAGAGTTCCGAATTCAACGGTTTACACAGCTGTTCAAAACAGTTTACAAAACATTTTAGCGAATATCTTTAATTCAGAAACTACAGAAATAAAATTACCATATATAACAGATGCTAAAGAAATTAAATCAAAAACGACAACATTATTTACGTCACTTAATGATTTAATGACTTATATCATTAATATTCCTGCACCAACTACAGCATTTGATCCAAACTCGACGGTTTGCAGTGTACCTTTCATAAAGTCGCAAACGGACTCTTTGAGTCCTGAAGGTCTTTCAGACCGAAGCGACCAGGGCGAAGCCCATGACAGTTCATTAATTGTTTTAAGGGATTCAACAGTTAATGAATCATTAAAGGCGTCATTAATGAAAATCATTGATTTTAATTCATTCACGAATACATATAATTCATTCATTAATGTTTCATATGCTTCTAAAGAAGGTGAGCCAAAAACTATCGATAAAGCGGTGTATGAAATAAAAGCATCAACGACGAAATTGAATTCGTTAACTTTTGACGGTGATAGTTTCGTTAATGACATAACATCGGGGAAAACAATTTTAACGAAAGAATATTTAAAATCTCATGTTAGTGAGTTCGTTGAAATTGAAAAAGAAGGTGGAATTAAGTTCGATCCACTGAATTTCATTTCAGCTTAGCGAATGCGGGTGTTAGTTTCGCTGAATGGACAACTATACAGAGTGAAATAAATGCAATATGGACGTTTTTGGGGTCAAAAGCGGGAATGGGTGAGCTTGTAAATGCTGCAAGAACATTAGGTGAAACAGGAAATTTTGTAGATGGTTTTTAAAAGACTTGTTTCAAATGTTTTAACAAACACAAAGAAATTATTTAGATATACCATACATAACGGACGGATTTTCGAACAGGTAGCAACAAACCCTCCGGTTATGGCTGCGTTGATGATGGTTAGAGATATAAAACCACGTAACGACGGGAACGAAGAACATGAACAACAGAGCCCAACGGGCTCAGAGCCACATAGTGGCGAGGATACTGGTCGGGTTATTCAAGACATTAAAAACGTGTATCCTGAAGTTATTGATTTATTTAGAGGAGTTAATGATTCAATTTCAAAACATTCTATAACCCTCGATGAAGAGAATAAATTAACAGATTATATATTCGTCATTATTGCAGAATTAATGAAGAGAATAAATGAAAAAGGAATTGGTGATATCATTAATGTCAGCGATGTAATGATGAAAAGAAATTTTGACTCATTATTTACAAAACCGAAAACAGAATATAGTCTTTATGACGTAATTACCGAATTAATGAAAAAGATTAATGATAATAAGAGTTCTGGCGGAAGAGTTGAATTAGAAGTGAATGATGTTAATGAGAAATTAGCCGAAAAAGCAGATAAAAACCACGTTCATTATATAACTTCAGACGAACAGATTATAACGGACTACCATGGATATTTAACACGAAGTGATGAAGCGAAGACAAAAAATGTTAATGAAAGAAGATATAAATACATTCGTGCTAAAGGTTATGACATAAGCTGTACTGTACAGTATGACACAGGTAAAGCACCAGAAGCATTTAGTTATAACGATGAAATTTATGCCTCTACTTTCTCTGTTAATGGTGTATTAGTTGAACCAAGATTTATGTTAAGAGTTAAGGCAAAAATAACGTTTGAAGATGATATTAAAAGTAAAGCTGACAAAGTTGAACTTGACGCAACGAACAAAGTTTTGAAATCTCATAAACACAACATCTCCGATATAAATGAACTTCAAACTTCTTTAGACAGTAAAGCTGACAAGAACCATACACATAAATCCTTCACTACTGTTAGAGCAGACGACATAATATTGAACTTTGACCTTGGTTCAAGTGCACCATTAGAAAATCCAAGTACAAGCGTAAAAGATACTCTTAACAGTTTAGATAACAGTTGCAGGAACATTGAAAGTCATGCCAGAAACTTTGAAGCACATGAACTACCAGCAATGTTAGATAAGAAAGCAGACAAGAACCATACACATAAATCCTTCACAACTGTTGCTATAGAAAGTATTGAAGGAACGGTTGAAGAAACTGGTGGGGATGCATTATATTGTAAACCTCCTAACTTTCCACAAGGTTTAACATCGGATGACGACCATAACGACGATGAGAAACATTAGATGTAAAGATGTTTATGTCATGAAGGATGAACATAATATTAAATTCACTGCTCAAGATTTATATGACAGAAAGCAGACAAGAACCATACACATAAATCCTTCACTACTGTTAGAGCAGACGACATAATATTGAACTTTGACCTTGGTTCAAGTGCACCTTTAGAGAATCCGAGTACAAGCGTAAAAGATACTCTTAACAATTTAGATAAGAGTTGCAGGAATACCGAAGATCATGCCAGAAACTTTGAAGCATATGAACTACCAGCAATGTTAGACAAGAAAGCAGATAAAACTTATGTGGATGCAGAACTAACAAAGAAATTTTCGAAACCAGATACAATGACATTTACAACAGAAATTATAAATGGTGAACCAGCAACTCCATTTGAATTTGTTAGAGGTCTTCAACCAGATACTTTTGAATTTTTCTTGGATAATTCTATTGAACTAACATTACATTATAAAAGTGGAACAAATGCAACATTTCATCCGGGAGATACATTCCAAATGGTATTTAATGACATAAGTTCTTTAGAATATGTTTATAGAGTTATGAGCATATATGATTTAATATATCCTATAGGAGCTGTTTATACGTCTATGAATCCAATAAATCCAAACACTTTATTTGGTGGTAGATGGTATGAAATAGTTGACAGTTTTCCATTCTACACTAATACGCAGTCAATGAAGATGGGAGGTTCAAAGAAAATAGGTATTGAAAACCTTCCTTCACATATGCATAGGTTCAGTGGAAGAACATCTGTGGAAGGAAACCATTCACATTCAATAACAAAAAGAGGTTATACAAATCTTGCAGCGGGTTCGGATAGACAGGGAATGCATAGATATGATATCACAACTGACCCCAAAGATGTTAGCACAGGTATTTTCTGTGGAACTGCAGGAAATCATACACATGTTGTAGCTGGTATTACAGACCCAGCAGGTAATGGAAAAGATTATATGCCTCCTTATATAACAATGCACGCTTGGATACGAGTTGGTTAAAATCTTTAACTTTACATAAATGAGCTTGAAAGAAGTATTCGAACAACATCCATGGAGGTCATTTAAGAAGTTCAATGAAGCTGCAAAGAGTTCGGGATTTACTAACAGAGCTGAAGTGAAAAGGTTCTTTGACAAAAATGTTGTACATCAAACAAAAATAAATCCTTACGACTACTTTTTACCAATTTACTCCAACACTCCTGACGCATACCAATTTGACACTCTCATTCAAAGCAGAAAAGGAGGACATAAACCATTCCTCATCTTCATAAATGTTAACACTCGTAAAGCATATGCGTATATAATGAGAAATAAAGGAACTCATGAAGTGTTAAGAGTTTTACAAAAGTTTGTAGCAGAACATAGCCCAAGTATTTTAACATCAGACCAAGACGGTGCATACCTCAGCAACGAAATCACAGAATTTCTCATTAAGCATAACATAACTCACTACACTACTGAAGACCATAACCATAACATACTCGGTATCATTAACCGCTTCATAAGGACTCTCAGAGATTTAAATCAAGAGCGAGACTTTACCGAAGAAACAATGAAACATTTTCTCGAAGTATATAATTCCTCAACACATTCTACAACAGGACATACACCAAATTCAATGACACAACAACAAGAAGAAAAGTATATACAAAAGAAACGAAGCCAAACACAAAATATCAGAAATTCAACACAATTTACTCTCATTCCTGGTACAAAAGTTCGTGTAGTTCTTGACGACAAACCATTGACAAAGAAACGTTTAAGGTTAAGTCGAAATTATTATATCGTAGACTCTACGCAAGGTAATGGATATCTTATAAAAGCTGCTGACGACTCCATAGCATTTTACCCTCGACATAAATTAGTCGAAAGTAGTAATGGCAAACTTGCAAGCATAAGGAACTTACTTAATGCTAACAATAACTTACCAGGAACTATTAAAGCATTTATAAAGTCCTTTGTAAAACCCGGTGCTCTAACATTTAGGTCTTTGAGAGCAAGAGCATTGAAGTCAAGAGATGCAGAAACTCCAACAGAACCTACAGAAGGAACTGAAACAACAGAAACTCCAGAAGAACCACCAAAACCAACAGCTAATGAAATATTGTTCGAATATTTTCCAAGGTACTCTGTTCTCATTGCATACATTCAAGAAATACTTAAGAAAGCAGACTTGACTTTAGGAGATGATGAAAGTTCTGTATATCTTTCGTTCCAGTTTCAAATAGCAGAACTTTTGAGACAATATGCTTAATGTATGACAACATCTCTGATTTCACAAGATATGATGACGACCATGACCCCGAACATGGTGAAGAAGAAGTTTTACAAACATCCATTAAGACAGGAAAGGTTTTAACTCAAAGTCTCATTATTGACACCAAAGATGGCGAAGTGACGTTCTTCAAGAGCTGAAGAAAAATACTTCTTCGGGAGGTGGTGGTAGGCATGAACTTGAAATAAATGAGATAGAAGAGAAATTAGCCGAAAAAGCAGATAAAGAACATAAACACAATATCTCCGATATAAATGAACTTCAAGCTACATTAAATAGTAAAGCGGACAAAAATGAACTTGACGCAACGAACAAAGTTTTGAAAATCTCATAAACACAATATCTCCGATATAAATGAACTTCAAACTTCTTTAGACAATAAAGCAGACAAAAACCATGTTCATTATATAAGTTCTGATGAACAGATTATAACGGACTATCATGGATATTTAACACAGGGTGAAAAAAGTGAATACGAAAAATGTTAATGAAAGAAGATATAAATTCATTCGTGCTAAAGGTTATGACATACACTGTACTGTACAGTATGACACAGGTTATAGCACCACAATCATTTGGTTATAACGCTGAAATTTATGCTTCATACTTCTTTGTTAACGGTGTATTAGTTGAACCAAGATTTACTTTGAGAGTTAAGTCAAAAATAACTTTTGAAGATGCTATTAAAAGTAAAGCTGACAAAACAGAACTTGACGCAACGAACAAAGTTTTGAAATCTCATAAACACAATATCTCCGATATAAATGAACTTCAAGCTACATTAGACAGTAAAGCTGACAAGAACCATACACATAAATCCTTCACTACTGTTAGAGCAGACGACATAATATTGAACTTTGACCTTGGTTCAAGTGCACCATTAGAAAATCCAAGTACAAGCGTAAAAGATACTCTTAACAGTTTAGATAAGAGTTGCAGGAACATTGAAAGTCATGCCAGAAACTTTGAAGCATATGAACTACCAACAATGTTAGATAAGAAAGCAGATAAAACTTATGTGGATGCAGAACTAACAAAGAAATTTTCGAAACCAGATACAATGACATTTACAACAGAAATTATAAATGGTGAACCAGCAACTCCATTTGAATTTGTTAGAGGTCTTCAACCAGATACTTTTGAATTTTTCTTGGATAATTCTATTGAACTAACATTACATTATAAAAGTGGAACAAATGCAACATTTCATCCGGGAGATACATTCCAAATGGTATTTAATGACATAAGTTCTTTAGAATATGTTTATAGAGTTATGAGCATATATGATTTAATATATCCTATAGGAGCTGTTTATACGTCTATGAATCCAATAAATCCAAACACTTTATTTGGTGGTAGATGGTATGAAATAGTTGACAGTTTTCCATTCTACACTAATACGCAGTCAATGAAGATGGGAGGTTCAAAGAAAATAGGTATTGAAAACCTTCCTTCACATATGCATAGGTTCAGTGGAAGAACATCTGTGGAAGGAAACCATTCACATTCAATAACAAAAAGAGGTTATATAAATCTTGCAGCGGGTTCGAATAGACAGGGAATGAATAGATATGATATCTCAGATGACCCCAAAGATGTTAGCACAGGTATTTTCTGTGGAACTGCAGGAAATCATACACATGTTGTAGCTGGTATTACAGACCCAGCAGGTAATGGAAAAGATTATATGCCTCCTTATATAACAATGCACGCTTGGATACGAGTTGTTAAAATCTTTAACTTTACATAAATGAGCTTGAAAGAAGTATTCGAACAACATCCATGGAGGTCTTTTAAGAAATTCAATGAAGCTGCAAAGAGTTCGGGATTTACTAACAGAGCTGAAGTGAAAAGGTTCTTTGACAAAAATGTTGTACATCAAACAAAAATAAATCCTTACGACTACTTTTTACCAATTTACTCCAACACTCCTGACGCATACCAATTTGACACTCTCATTCAAAGCAGAAAAGGAGGACATAAACCATTCCTCATCTTCATTAATGTTAACACTCGCAAAGCTTTTGCGTATATAATGAGAAATAAAGGAACTCATGAAGTGTTAAGAGTTTTACAAAAGTTTGTAGCAGAACATAGCCCAAGTATTTTAACATCAGACCAAGACGGTGCATACCTCAGCAACGAAATCACAGAATTTCTCATTAAGCATAACATAACTCACTACACTACTGAAGACCATAACCATAACATACTCGGTATCATTAACCGCTTCATAAGGACTCTCAGAGATTTAAATCAAGAGCGAGACTTTACCGAAGAAACAATGAAACATTTCATCGAAGTTTACAATTCCTCAACACATTCTACAACAGGACATACACCAAATTCAATGACACAACAACAAGAAGAAAAGTATATACAAAAGAAACGAAGTCAAACACAAAATATCAGAAATTCAACACAATTTACTCTCATTCCTGGAACAAAAGTTCGTGTAGTTCTTGACGACAAACCGTTGACAAAGAAACGTTTAAGGTTAAGTCGAAATTATTATATCGTAGACTCTACGCAAGGTAATGGATATCTTATAAAAGCTGCTGACGACTCCATAGCATTTTACCCTCGTCATAAATTAGTCGAAAGTAGTAATGGCAAACTTGCTGAAACCATTGACGAAGCAAAGCGAGGAGTGGTTATTGAAATACTTGACTACAACATAAACGATGACACTTATAAAGTAAGATATGAAGGAGGCGTTGAAGATGTTATACCATCTAAGAACTTGAGAGAATCTAAACCAACTCATCTGGGACCATTAGAGCGGGTACTGGAAAGATAAAAACATGCCAGAAAGAATAAGAAAATTCTTCTAAACTTTTTCGTTGGATGTAAATCAGACAAAAATATATTATAGGTGAAGAGGTGAGATTTCACCTGTTTTCTCACCTGTTTTTTCACCTAAATTATATTTTTGGTCATTTACACTCATTTACGAAGAAGTCATGACAAAGCATTTACGATGAAATCTTGACAAGGCATTTACGAAGAAGTTATGACAAAGCATTTACGAAGAAGTTATGACAAAGCATTTACGAAGAAGTTATGACAAAGCATTTACGAAGAAGTTATGACAAAGTCATGAGGGTGAAAAATTAGGTGAAAAAAGAGGTGAAATCTCACCTCTTCACCTAAATTATATTTTTGGTCAAAGCTTCCACGAGAGAAAAGATTCCTCATTTGCTAAGGATTCCAAAAATGAAAAAATCGTTGATTTCGGCTGAGAAAAAACGGCAAAAACCCTTCTTCCACGGGAACAAAGAAATAAAGAAGAAATAAAGTAAATTTTTTATTTATTCCCGTGGAAGATAGAGCACTTTTATGACACTTTTTATTCACGACAAACAAGACAAATAAAGAAAATAAGAAAATACGGCGCTGTCGCGGTTCGAACCACAGACCTGACCCCTCCATAACACCACCTTAGACCACTGTGCTACGTAGCCTGTCGACATAAGATTTATAAATTGCATATTTGACGTAAATTTATTTCCATCTGGCTTCCCACTGCATAAGATATTCATACGTGTTTGTAAGACATTCATTAAACTTCTTTTCTATTGCATCTAATCTTGCGTTATTTTTTTCAATAACTTGTCTGTATTCTTCATCATCTCCAGCAGTGTTTGGGTCTTCACGTTTAAAATATTCATTGTTAACCAATTTTTTATCTACAAATTTTATTAGTGTTTGATTCACTTCGTTATGATAACGGTCATATTCTTTCAATACGTAAGTGAAGACAAATGCGTCGTACCTTCAATCTTAAAGCTTAAAGAACTTCAACACAGTTTTGAGGGTCTGTCAGTGCGTCAATGAGATAGTATTCGAAGTCAGTCAATAATCTTTTTAAAGTCATTTCATACAGGAAAATTAATGTTGTGAAGAAATAGTGTTTATCTCAAAAAAAATAAAGTTAGTTTTTATTTTATTTATTTTTTTATCCTGTATGTAAAGACAGATATGTCAACATTAGAGAACACAACAACTGCTATCGTTCATGAAGTCATAAAGAAGAATACGAATACATACAGTATATACAAACAATTGAGACTCATTCGTTCTGTCAAAGACGACATGTACCAAATGCAAAGTATTTGACGGCTTGTTTTGCTCCAGATACTAAGCTTCCTAAAGACTGGTTTAGGAACCAAAGCACCATAGAACTATTAAGTGAAGCACAGCGAGACGTACTTTTTCTGAAAACAGTGAAGAAGCGAGTAGGTAAAAAACCCAGTCGCCAAAACTCTATGAAAACCGTGAAAAATTGCCAAACGGTTTGAGAGGATATTATGTTCATAGACTTTTAGTAAATGCAGTTGCAATGTGGGCTTCACCACGTTATGCTTGGAATATTTACAAACTTCTTGACGAACTTCACAGACAAGAACGTGGAGAGATGGAAAAGAAACTTCAAGCAAAAGATGAAGTCATTGAATCCAAAGACAAAAGCATACAGAAAAGAATACCGCGTTCAGTACCAAAAGGAAAGGAAAAGAACTATAAGTATATGATTTATACTGAAGAGTTGGAGAATGAAGAAAAGATATGGTTATGTTGCATTTAGTCAG